AGTGGCATCGCCTAAGACAAGTGTATTGTCAGCATATTGGAGGTGGGTGACAAGTTGTCCATGTTGCAAGTTACTGAAACCTTTAGTAAACCATGATTGTAGACTCTTTCGATGGACCTGCTCAATGTCTGTGGTGATAGAGAACAAGAATGGAGATGTCCTGATGTCTTAACCCTCTTGATGGTGGGAAAAACCCTTACAGGGAGCCATTGATGAGGATCGAGAAGTGTGCAGAGGAACGACATCCTTACATTGAAGACCTCCATTTTGCTCTAGAGCCCATCAAACACAGAATTTGATAAAGGATTCCCCAGTCATGGTGGCTGTAGGCCTTTTTGAAATTTGATTTGTAGATAATGCCTGGCAAATTGGATTTGGACTCTTTTGTTGATGTATTTATTCTCAACTAGAATCCCTTCAAGGATTTGCCTTCCTTGAACAAAGGAGCCTTGATGGGGAGAGATTACTAGGCTGAGCACCTGACGTAACCAGGGGCAAGGACCTTAGCTAGGATATTTTAAGAACTGTGACTTTGGGTTTGAAGTCCTTGTCCTTCTCTGCCCATCCAGTATTGGGAATAAGGGTGATATCAGTGGCATTCATACCCTTATTTAGGATGCCTCTTCCTGAGAAGAACATTCTTCTTTAGTATCTGAGTTCCCACTTTGCCCAAATATCCTTTCATCTCAGCTCATGTATTCCTGAGGCCTAACTGCCAAATGCACGCAGGACACTGTGTCAGTTGAAACTTAGATATTAAATATTTGGTGGATGATGAAGTTATTCTTTCTGTTCTCTCTCCATAGTTGTGTTGATATGACTACCGTTGTACGAGTAGATCAGACCTTTTAGCTGCGCATGTGGTTAGCCAGTAGCCAGTACATGGTGGCACTGAAGCCTGTGCATCTGAATCTGTTAATCAACTTAATAATTATAACTTATGCCTTGTTTATTTGCGGGTTATTTCCATATCCATTTCAAGAGTTTTATAGCTGCTTATGTATATTATGATTTGTGTCGGCTATAGGTTGATTGTTGGGGTATGTCAATTTGCTTTGGTGACTATTTTAACCTCATTGAAGAATAGAGGGCATAGCATATTATTTCATGTGTATTTTAGGTGGCCAAAGTAGTTTGATCACCTGCGTGTATATGATTTGGTGTTAATCTTTCTCTGCCTAGATGTTTCTGTTAACTAACACTGTCGTTCTGAATCTCACATGCTATTGGAAAGTGCATTAGCAGAAAACTTTCAATGAGTGTTTGGTTTACTATGAATGAGCATTTAGACTGAACAAACCCTGTCAAGAGCTCCTTTATGGGAATATGTCAGTGACAAACTACTCTAAAATAATTTTTAATATACAAGTATCAGTTAAGGATTCTGTCTTCGTATATGGGTTTAGCTGAGAATTACATTCTCTCTCAATAAATTGCCAGGCTCAGATTTCTTCCTTCTCACTGTGCTTAATTGTATTCCTGTCTTTTCTGGTGATGCTGCAAAATTTTATGCTTTTGTATACAAAGCTTTCCGGTTCAACATATCTTCCTTGTCTTATTTGGATCTTCATAAATAGTAAATTGGTAACAATTGTCAAAATTTCCAGAGAAACCAGGTGTTCTTCAGGTTGTTCCAAGCAGGACTTACAAGCTCCATTCTGGGACTGGGATGATGAAATGAGTTTCAAACTGTTCCAGATAAGCATTTTGTGTCTTCTTTTGGAGAAGTAAAGATATCCTTGACAACATATAACCTGGCTAATGTAAATAACTTGACTGCTTCATGAAAGATAGCTTCAATTCAAATGAGTCTAATGGATACAGTGTTGATCACATCGTATCCTCTGCCTAATAAAGAAAAACTTGTGTGGTATTTTGAATGCTTGTTTTCAGTTTTTGTGTTGGCCTTATGTTCCATGTTTTCTGTTAAGTTCCTAGGGGAAGTGATGGTTGTAGCACTAGGTTTTGAAAAAATTTATGAAAATATAACTTGTTTGAAGTATTAGTGCTTAAACATATATATGTAGGAAAGACCAATTTAAGAAAGGAAAAGTATACAATGAGGCCATTTTTCTTTGGTACAAGGTGGTCACAATTAATTCCTACAATTGGATGTGAAATTGGGTGGCTATATTTATTCCATTGATTAAGTTCAAAGTTCAAAAGAAATTTTCTTGAACTTTGTGACATACCTAAGCTATCAGATTTTACATTGGATGGTTATAAGTACAAAAAATAAAATAAATGGTTTCATTGTATACAATCCCAAAAGGAATGGGTGGCCTCGTGTTGCTATAAATATGTAAGGCGTAAAGAGGCCCCAGGCCTAGGTTCGGCACATTTTCCCTTGCCGCGCCCCTCTCATAACCCGTCCTGAGCACTCCACCCAAAGCCCCCAACCGGTAGTATCTCAGAGCATGTTGAGCTTTTCTTCCGCAGATGAATTTTATGTTTCGTCAGTTTGTTGGAAACTAGGGCGAGTTTAATCCGGCTCAGCAACTTGTCAAGCCTGATACCATACATATGTAAACATCTGAGTTTGAATGGCACCTAATGTTCTATCTTCACCTTGCTGAGCCTTTTGAATTAAACATACTGCGAGTCAGTAGAGTTTAATGTTTTCTTGTTTGGACTCGAGTCGTATCACAGCTTGGGACCTTCCTATCCAGCACCGTCTTTTATGCTCCCAACAGAGTGAATTGTACATTTAATCCCTTTGGGAGACAACCTGCTTGAAGGAGTTCTTTGGTCTAAAGGCCCCCAAATAGTGTCCGTACGTAATTTGCTCAACATTTTATCTCCAACGCTGGAATGGTGGTCGGTGGGTTTAGATAAAAAACTGTATCCACCCATGGGAGCATTTCATATCTTCCGTTCAGTGTAAATAGTATCTGAAGTAATTTTGGGACTCCAAAGCTAGCGATAGTGATTTGAAAATCGTTGATCCTTATCGGAATTGATCAATCCGAATTGATCATAGTCTATGGAACTCAAATTAATTGACCAGTTTACTGACTTTATCTTTTAAATAGATTCACAACTTCTCCATGGAAGGTGATCATAGGAACAACAACCAATAGGGGCCTGGCTTTGGTAAACCTAAATGAGCGTGGTTCATTGCTACTATTCCTCACCCGGCTTTTAAAGCCTCGAATCGGATTTCAGATCGGTCCTCTGGTGAAATAATCCAGCTGAACTGGTTCTCAATGTCAAATGACAAGGAAACATAAGAAATTATAAATTGGTGGGAATTGGTTGATTAATTGGGTTCCATGGATCTAATTTTCTACCGATTGAGCTAGATCTAGATCAACAAATTCCAATCTATCTGACAATTTTTTCCAATCTGACAATTCTTTTAGTCCTTGCTCCTGAGAAAATATGGACGTGTAAAGAGCCAGGACCATTGTATCTTAAATGAGCACCACAACTTTGTGATTTGGACAATCAAATACAGGGACGCATGAATTGGTCACACACCCACATTTTTAACGTGAGAGTCCACTTTATTTTCCCTTCAAATTGAGAGTCCAATGCACTGGTCTCATCAAAACCCAATGAGCCTGGTTTCGCCGGATTCTTGATAGTAACTAAGGTTGGCAATGGGCCGGGCGGCCCAGCCAGCCCGGTCAGCCCAGTACTAAAATATAGGGCTTGGGCCACAAACCGTAGTCCTAGGGCTGGGCTAGGGCCTGTACCAGCCCGGCTGGTTTGGCCATGTTTTTTTCTAGGGCGCTGGCTCTTTGCCACCATTAATAGTAACAAATATCACAAACCATCAATATGTAAAGATACCTGTGAAAATTCATGCAGACATTCCACTAGCTAATTCTCAAACTCTTGTTCTTTAACACGCAGAGAAAGTAGCCATCTTAAAGAGATTAACAAAAAGAAATCCTAGAAGTACTTTTATTTATGGTAAAAGTTTATATGAAGTTGCAACCTTAAAATGTAGTACTACATTTGCACTTCAAATATCCATCGGAAAATGTTGTTTTAACGTTGAAAAACCCTCTCATTGATCATCTCGATATCAAGATGTATGAATATGAAAAAAAAGAAGATTTCGAATCCTAGAAATAGTGCACATCTTGCAACACATTATCTAGACGGTTTATTTTCAAGATTTTCATATGTTTACAGATCTACTTGATTTTAACCATTTTTGAAGTTTAAAATTTTATAATTAAATATGAAAATAGATTTTTAAATAATCGTAAGAATTTTTCACACCAAATTTACATGTTATGATAAAATTTGGAGATGCGTTTAATTGGATTGTTTAAGGTCGCAACCTTAGAGAAACTGCACTATTTTAAATACCTTAATTACCCAATTTTCTCATGACCAATATCCTGTGAAAATCGTTGCAAAGTTGGTCTGCCAAGTATATCACTTTTGACAGGTATAGTTGCAGTAAATTTACAAGTGCTACTCAGGATGAGGTTAGGTCATAGAAATGGTAAAACTGGATTTTTTTTTTCTTCTTTTTTTTTTTAAAAAAAATATTCTTACTTTTATTCCCATGACCATTCTTCACCTAATAATCAGCCTAATCTCCACAAACTCAACTTAACTCAAACTAAACACGACATCTACAAACTTAAATGCTATCTACTTGCGTTTTTTTCTTTTTATTTTCTTTTCTTTTTTTTAAATCTTAATGTAAACTTAAAACCCAGCTACTTTTCTTTCTTCTTATTTTTTTCCCTTTTTTTGTTTTTGACTGTTAACTTAAACATTAGCTACTTCATTTTTTTAAAATATTAAGCACTAGCTACTTAGTAATCCAAGCTAAACCCCAATCCTCACCCACTAGGCAAGACCCAACTCTATAAGTACTTCCCTTCAAGACCCAGCAACCTAAGAACACCAGCAAAGCCACAACAGATCCAAAAACAAAAACTTGTAAGAGAGGTCAAAGGATTTCAACATGAGGTCTAACCAGCTCCATGCGTTGTTACTGATCATGACTGGTCTGTTGGCCAGTGCAATGCCAGTGCTGGTGCATGCCCAAACTGGACCCCAAAGAGAGCGGCTGACTGCGATGGGACAATGCTTCGGGGCTGTGTCGAGCATAGTGGGTTGCTGGAGACAAGTTTACAACTTCATCAAAATTGGGCCAATTGGCAAAACATTTCCGAAAGCCGATTGCTGCCAGGCTGTTCTAGAGACCGAGGCACAATGCTGGGGATCATACCCGATGCCAGACCACGGGATCGACCCAACAATGACTATCATGCTCAACAACTATTGTGTGGGTATCATTGGACCAGAAGTACCAGACCATTTGGGTTAGAACCCAGCTTAGTATTGAAGTATCCTGTCTGATGGAATAGGAGCCCCTAAATAGATTGTGTCCATAGAATTTCATATGCAATGGAAACCGTAGTTTGGGAGTGTTAATAAAAAGTGCATTTGATTTGGCTAATGTTTTGTGTGTGTGAGAGAGAGAGAGAGATCATTTTCAAAACCTGTTGCAAACTGAGCCTTTAAAAGCTAGGCCAAAGCTTTAGGTGACAATACATACAGAGGGTCCGGTCCAGTTAGTGTAATGCCTAGGTTTTTTGAAAAAGTAATGCCACATTTTAAAAGCCCATTTGAAATTGAAGGTTCCGGCCTAAAAATCCTTATGATATATTGAAAACGGAATTTGTCAAAACTTTAGTAAAATCTCCTTCTCACACGGCAACGTGAAATCAGAGGTGTCTATTTACATTGAAAGGTGTTTTTGTGATAGCCTTGAAATATATTTTCATCTTTAATTACAAAATTTAAAGACAAAAAAAAAAATAGTATATATATATATATATATATATATATATATATATATACTA